CACGCCGCATGGTCGTCAAGGATATCATCACGTGATGACCCAAATACAAGGCCTTGCTTGGATTCCCGTTGCTTGCGCCAAAACGGTCAGGGTTCTGTGCCAGTGCGTCCGGCTTGCACAGGCCCCTTGGCCACAAACTTATAAAAGGGCTGAGTTGACTTCTTCTCTGATTATTGGCCCCACGGACTTCTGAAGACCCTCGCGACATCAAGACACTTGTCGCTTCAAGACCCGCGCAACCTCAAGAGTCAAGACATCTATAAGTCCCCACGTCAAGACGCTCCTCGAGATTATCCCAACCCTTTCTGAGTTTGCAACTGTTTTAAAGGAACATGGCCCGTTTCCGCTGCCCTACTGACTCTGCTGATGATCTTGCGAATGATCGCATCCCCCAGGTAAGCCGTCGCCTTGCATTGTCATCTATGTACTTGCATATCTAACTTGCAGTATTTTCAGCGTTTGGCTAGTATGACAATCACCACAGATAAGAACCACAATGCTGCCGGTCCTTCGAAAAGACATGCACGGCGAGACAAAAATAAATTGAAGACACCGGCTGGAATGAGTCTTAAAGAGAAGGGGAATCTCAAGAAAGCATTTAAGAAAAACGCAAATGGTCCGAAGACAACCGTTCCAAAGGTCAACATCAACAATATGAGGTCAGATTGGTCATTTGTTTTTGTTGGAAATGTGCGTGAGCTTAGTCTTTGGTTATTGTTTGAGTACGCTCATATATGTCCTGCAGCTTAACAGGAATATCGACGAGAAAATTTTGTTCCAGGCTTTCATGCGGTTTGGGCATGTCACTCGAGTTCAGATCCGAACCAGTTCGGGCACCCCATTCGCGGGTGCTGGTCCAGTTGCTGCCAATAGTAACGACAGACAGTATGCGTCAGTCGAGTTCTCGGATGCCTCTGCTGCTAGGCGGGCTCTCAAGATGAACGGGCACAGGCTGTTTGGAATTAAGCTAGCGGTATGTTCAACATCACTATGATATTCGAAGTTTCATTCCAGAAAAGGTCTGTCTAAGTGCCGCTGATCTGCCCGAGACCCAAGAGATTGTCAATGCGCATATGGCGAAGAAGGTTCCCGCTCCCAAAATGGACGTACAAGCTGCCTTTAATGCTATTAAGTACGTTTTGTGAGCACTATTTTGAATGTGCTATGAATCATGTTCCACTGTGTCAGGCGTGTCACTATCGACCGGACTCAGTATATTAATGCCGAGGCCGGTCCATCTCGAGCAGGCCCCTCCACCCAACATCAAGATGTGACCGCCCCTGCGCGGCCCAGGGGGCTGCAGCCTCTCGCTCGAACGCATGCGTTCGCCGCGATGTCTTTCCCGAAGACCGTAATGTAGAATTTCCTCTTTTGGTATAGCGTATGTTGCTGGTCGCTCCTTTGTCTCATGGCGCCCTGAAATGTGCCCATTCACGTTCTTTAAGACTTGTACTTATTATCCAAGTTGCGATGTATGCATAGATGTAATGGAATGAGGTTATTTTCCTGTTAGAGTATGTTTGATGTCCCACGTAAGCCCAGAAACCGCCAATCAAACCCAGCTGTCGCGACCTGCGACACAACAGCTGGTCGACCAGCTCCGAGTCGCACCCGAGCTGACTTGGCCTTTCACCTTTCTCGACACGTCTGTACATCGCGAGCTGGATGGAATCCGTCTGGTAGTTGCAATCAGGCGTCACAGGTCGGTCTCTGTCTTGTTTACATTCTATTCCTCTGCAGCAGCTGAATGTGCTGTTCTCCAGTGGTAGCGTCGTCTCTTTCTGATCGTTGCGAGCCACACGGTTGCTGGTCACTGTCATGGACCCGATAGCAAGGAGCCCTGCTCTGAACCCCGCCTCTACTCCATTCTTTCCTGGCGGAATGCGGGTCAACGACGATGAAGGCAGAGGCTCCAGTATCGGATTCCGAGTGCCACTAAACCGGGAACAGCATTACAGCACGTCAGGTTCCACCATCTCCCTTTCTCCGTCGGAACATCGTTCCATGCGGTCGTCGCCCATTTCACTTCAAGATGACCGTGATCGCAACTCTGGGCCTGGGGTGCATCTTAATTCATCAGACGAAGGGCCTCGTCATTCTCCAGCGAGTAATCAACCCGAAGGAGATAGGACATTTTCCGCTCATGAGAGACAGGTTGCAAGAAGTATGTCTGGGACTACGGATAGTATTCCAGAAGGCGACGACACTCCTAGCCCTGCGATCCCTAACGGACAGTCGGCGTCGAATATTTCGTTTCTTGGAAATATGCTCGGACGTGGTCGGGATCGCCTTAACACTCCTCCCGTTGTATTGGATACCAGCAATACTCGGTCATCTCTCGTACATGCACCATTTTTATCCTCGTCTCCTGCCTCATCTCTAGACTCCGGCAGCCATTTCGCATCGAGCGCAGACTTATCGATATCCTTTGATACTCAACTGAGGGCTTCACCCTTCGTCCACGATCTCATAGACCGGCTCATTCGCTGTGAATATACTAGTCGTGAGATACAACGAGATCTCAACGACGTCCACCGCAAGCTGGATATACTCGTAGAGAGGACACTCCATACGAACGGACCACCAGAATTCAAGGATCCCTTTGCTCCCGCTCCGGCTTCTCAGACCCTGTTCTCCTCTGCTAATGGGCCACGGGCGTCCATGAACGCGAGTATTGCGCCAAATCAACCTGCGCCTACGGACGACATAAGTCAAATTTCCAACAGACTCAATACGCTAACCACTTCTGTTGGCCAGTTGTTGGCGTTACAGACACAACAGATGCAAGCTGCAGGCGCAGGGCTTCAATCTGTGCCCCTATTACCAGGCAATATTGGACAGGGAGATCTAAGTTCCAACCAAGCCACGCCTCAACAGGTGCTTTCGACGGGTTCAACATTGGGTCATGGCTTACCTGGTCGCCCTGACATGAGACCGAATCCACGCATGCCCAATCCTCCTATGCGAACGTGGTCTGCTGGAAACATCGATGTTCCATTGCGACCTGCTGATTCCTCTGGCCCGCTTAATCGTCAAGATACTCTCTTCCGTGACAAGCGTAGATCTGTTTCCGCATTGATGAGACGTGATTCTGCAGGTGTAGGTTATCTAATCCTTTAGGGAAAGGCCCCTGTATCGGTTAAAATAATTTGCTGATGAGAAGTTTTCTATTCAGGGTGAGAATTTGACTGGTGGTTCATCATCTACTCGGGAGGGGGGACCCATAATCACGAAATGGGATCAGCTGGCCCTCGCTCCCGATCTGCTGCGATCATTGAACACTTTTGGGTGAGTCTTGCTGATGATGGAGGCAGGGTCTTCTGACTCTTTATATCATATTTTCTAGTGTGGGACCTCCGAACAAGATCCAGCAACGCGCACTACCATTCCTACTGCGAGGTGCAGACATTATCGCCCAGGCTCCACCAACTCAGGAGCGGATTGCAGCCTATGTCATACCAGCTATTCATGTTGCACTGAGCAACGCCTCCATGCGTGTTCCCGTTCGGGGTCCTCTGGTGGTCATGATTTCTACGACAGTCGACCAAGCGACACAAGCCCAAAGGATGATTCGCGATCTAGGTGGACCTATTGGTATCAAATCGGCGTTAGGAGTTGGATCTGCTTCCGCTGGTGTTGATCTCAACCAAGAACTCCGAATTTTGCAACAGAATATGCCCCATATAATTTGCGGTACACCTCAGAAGTTGCACGCCCTCTTCACATCGCCCGGTGGTATGCCCGGGACTGAAGTTCGATTCCTGGTATTGGACGAAGTCGATCAATTGATTGCACGAAACCTCCACGAATACGTCTTCAATATCATCAAGCTCCTGCCACCCCCTCGTTCTCGCCCTCTTGGGGCGACATCGCCTGGCAGTAATCCGGGGTCTGCATCGCACGCATCCTTCTCAGCATTTGAATCGAACGCGCCTAACTCACTCATACCTCCCATGCAAAACGCGGCTCGGAGATTCTCGGCGATTGGCCTGAGATCGTCTCCTCCCATTGAGTCAGCGAACGGCGGCCTGTCACAGGCTATCGAGCGACAAACGGCTTTGTTTTCCAATACTGTCCCGCAGGACGTGTTGAATCTTGCTCAAGCTATCCAACTGCGGGAGCCTGTCAGGGTCCTTGTTCGTCGTGACGGTAACGTGACGCATGCAGACACGAGTCAGGGTGCCCGTGGTCTCCGGCAATTCTATCTGTACCTTGCCTTTACTGCAGGCGGCCGATCAGACGCACCTTTGCCTACCACTGGACTTGGAATTATCGGTTCGGGTAGAGGCGCATCCAGCGCTGAAACGGCGCAAGCTCGGGAATGGAAGTTGGAAGCCCTTGCCGATCTATTCGATGATCTTGATGTACCGCAGGCAATCATTCACGTAGGTGGGATGACGGCTTTGGACGCCGTAGTGTATAAATTAGCGAGCAGGGGCCTTGAGGCTGTTCCTCTAGTGAGTGTATTCCTTGCACATGTTTGGTTGAGTATCTAAACAGGTGATCTAGCATGGAGATATGAATGCGGGAGCCAAGCTCGCTGCCCTCAACAAGTTCCGCGGTCCTCCCTCTGGTATCATGCGACAATCGACAGCGAAGGTATTGGTCGTTTACGATGTTCAGGTCAAGACACCGGAGGTGTCTCAAATTCCTCTCATCATCAATTATGGCAAGCATTCCATTATAGGGTTAAACCGTAGATTACTGACTAGAGTGTGTCGACAGATCTACCAAAAGCTGTCGAAGAATACGCCCATCGGTCTGTGGCCAGCTCTTTTTCCTCTTTATGTATTTGAAACTAATGCAAAACGTTGGCCAGCGTTGCTCCTGCTATTGCTCCTAGTTATTCACGCGCAGGTGTCATCATCAATTTTGTCACTGCTACTGGTGGTGATGTCGAAATGCTGCGCTCTATAGAGTGCTTCTACAAGTGAGGATATTTTTCATTACCAATATATGCGTATTGACATGCGAATTCGTTTGTCAGGATTAAATGCGTGAGTATTGCTGTTTGACTGCTCAGAGTCGATGTTAAACGCATCGTAGCCCGAAGTTCCCATGAGTCTCCGCGACATTGTTTAGTTGACATTATCGTCGTTTGTGTATCCCTATCACTGCTTTCCTGGCCTCAAGCTATCCCGCCCATGCTGCCTGCTCTTGTTTAATGACAAAGTCGCACTGCGCATTCTACTGTGTCATACCCTTCATATATCACATCTAACCAGATTGTCTCGTTACTAGCTAGTTCTTGGGTCTATACCCAGTTGTCTACACTGTATACTGCATGGCCTTTTCCTTGATTCCCCAACGTACTGCGATCGACTCTTCATGATCCCGTAGTATGGACAGTCAGTATCTTCAATGTATTATCTTCACTACAGCTTGCAAGTTGCATCGTTGTGCTGTCATTGCTAGGACGATACATCAAGCGATGAATCTGGTCGACGTGTGCGGTCCTGTAGGCGATGTCAAATTCTATCTGCGACCTCAGCTTATTTCACGCTTACCGAGAGTCAATACTGAGCTCGAGTTGCCAATCAGAAATGGTTGCTGTCGCACAAGAGTAGATCACAATTTCTCCAGATTCCAACCCAATCCCCATGATACTTTGTGAACCGAGGGTAAATACTAAAAGTTACGTGAGATCGAGTAGATCGACTTACCGGCGTCCGAGATCTGAAGGTGCGAAAGCCACAGCGGTAGCAGCGTCGATTGTTTTGATAGCGCATGCGGCTGTCCACTTGCTTGTATCCGGATCTTGATGCCAGATTTTCACCTATATGATGATTATAAATGTCCAGAAAAGCTGCGCTGGAATGTAGCTCACCGTCTTGTCTCTGGATGCTGTGGCAAATATTTTTCCATCGTTGTCCCATGCACAATCCCATATAATCCGAGCATGGGACTTGTCAGCCGCAACGGGTACATATCCGCTTGTTCCATCTAGTGAAATTAATTTCAGATCAATGGTTGGCGCCCTTCTACGAGTAAGTGACTCTTGCCTGCACTGTTCTTCTCGAACAATCGCCACGTACGATCGCGAGAAACAGACAACAAGTAGTTGTCATCCGGGCTGAACGCAATCCGTGTGATAGTCAACGTATGACCAGGCAGAGGTTGCCCAAACGGTTGCCATTTTTCTGTGTCATATACACGGACCACCGCGTGCTCGGGATTTGTGGCTTTACATGCTGTAGCCATGAACTTATTTGAGTTCGATATCGCGAGACTGATGGACTAGTATTACCTGTTATGAGAAGATGCACGTCAACGTGGATTTTCACCAAGTACTTACTTCATAACCGTGACCAAACACTTTCTCGGTCTCAGGCCATAAGGTGATTGCAGCAAGTTCGCCTTCAAAGGGCCTCCGTTTTATTCGGATAGCATCGTAGGGAGCATTTGCATCCAGCGTTTCCGAATTTACTTAATCAGCAGCTTAGCGATGTGACCATATCGGCGCATTATCTTGCCTCACCTTCACTTACGGCTTTGTTTGATAGACCCAAAGGAGGGACCGTAGCTGCACGGGGTCTCTGGGACTAATGAATAACAGGATGAGTCTATGACATGGCGAAGAATATACAGCTTCTCGAGCTCACCTCTCCTCCAACGAGATGTGCTATCTCGAGATTATTGACTATGTCGATGAATTCACGAGGCGCCTCGAACACACGAGCAACTTTCTCGTCTGCAATACTAACGAACCCTAAGGTGTCCAGTGACGCAATGTCAACGAGGTCATATCCGTGCACTTGGGGGCGGCTGATTTCATGCCACACCACGGCTGATTTACCGTTCGTAGACTTAGGAATGGCCCCGTGAATGCGTGTGGTCTGGTCCAAACTAGTAAAGAGTTCAGTAGCAGTGGTAAATGAATTGTAAAATTGATCTCTCACCCGGCGGAGAGGAGGTATGCCCCATCTGTACTCCATGAGAGTCCCCTGACCGGGCCACTATGTCCGGTGATCGCACCTACCTCACTCCAACTTTCTGTTCGTGGATCTGCTATTTGCGACCCTTCGTCTCGGGCACAACGCCAACGTCGCCAGCCTCCACTCCATCCCCAAGCTGAAGCGTCCGCTCCATTGCGAGTCCATAAACCACCTACAAAACCGCCTAGTCTCTGCCCACCAACATCGCCAAATCGTTGATTATTTATCCAGATTGATGCTGTATTGTCTTTGTTTGAAGTGAAAACTGTGGAAGGCGACCACATAATCAAAGAGGAGTCGGAGGAGGTGGACAGAAGAGTGGGAACAGTAGAGGATGCATCGGGACGCCAGGAAATGGAAGTAACCCCAGCTTCGTGGCCGATCAAGAGGGCATCGAAAGTGACGGAGAATTGTTGTGAACTTGCGTATTTCTAATTCAGTCATTCAAGATACAAGACCGAACCACTACGTACCTTTGGTCTGATTTGACCGTGAGCATGTGTCTCTTCAGAGATATTTGACGACCTCCCTCTTCACCCTCCGCCAAGTCCGCCAAAGATGCTTCAAAGGCGTCAAGTAGGTCGTCTGTGACATCATCAGATGGGTCTTGAGATGCCTCAGAGCCTCTTCCGAGATAGCTCTCGATATTCCAAAGGCGAATAGTAGTGTCCTGAGATCCGGAAGCCAATACCAGATGATTCAAATTATGGTCGGGTTGTCGGAAAGCCAGACATCGGACCCAATCTTCGTGTCCGGAAAGTGTAGCTGAATGCACGAACTGACGCAATATAAGAGAATTTAACATGATGAGCGGGGGTGCAAGATATTACCTTGTCTTCTGAGCGGATCCAGAGCTGGACGTTGCGATCGGTGCTACCGATAGCAATGATTGTTGCTGATACAGATATGCTCAGATACAAATCAATGCTGTCTCTTGGGTACATACCTTGTACTCCGGGAAGTTGAGATAGTGCGAGAGACAAAGGATATCTCCCGTGAAGAGATATTGACTGAATTTCAGATATTTCGACTGCAATCGGATTCAGAAACTTAGCAACATCGTCAACGATAACAATTGCTAAACCTCGCCTTTGTCCTCACTTTGAAATATCTGCCATATCTTCACAAGGGAGTCCGAAGCCCCGGTTGCAAGGACGCTGTCATAGACCGCGAGGGTAGAAATGGCTGTCTCGTGTGCTTGAACAGCACGTCCTGATTTCCACTGGAATAAATCACCATGTCATTCAAGCCTTCTAGATACATGCGAGGCAAGCATGCCTGGGTTCCGTCATGTTTCCATGACCTCAGGACACCCTTGTCATCTGCACTAATGAAGTGGTCATCCTGAAGGAACCGAACGCATGTTACGAGCCCTTCGTGCCCGGGAAGTGTCTCAAACACTCCTTGCTCAAATTCATCCTATATGTTTATAAGTCATGTGCGAGAATTGTTTTCGAGATTTGAAGTACTTCGGCGTTCCATAGTGCGATTAGTTTATTTGTTCCAAATGCCACCAGAGAGCAACTAGATGCGTCCGCGGCGTAAGGATGTCTGTTGGTAGACGCGCAAATATAATCGACGGCCGCCTTATACGGCATTGCCAATACTCAGTTGATATATTCGTCCGAGATGTTCTGTAAAGATGAGATGGATGATAATTTCAAGAGGCAGACAGAGGGCGATGATTCGGGGTTACTGTAAGAACCGTTCGAGGAAAAATCGAGTTGATCAAGCTCACGTGCGTTGCTAGAATCGGGATCTGCGATCCTACTACTTATGTATATGTAATAGGCGATTTTGCTGGACTTCTACTACTAGTCTGTTCTGCTACCTGAGCCGCCAAGCTCACTCCTTCATTGTCACTCACTCTAGTGAACGCCAACGTATTGTATGGTGTATGGCCCACCGTAATGCCCATTCTAGGCGTCGGTGTTGATGTTCTCAATATCCACCGAATAATAGCACTTGTCAAGAGACGGTCTGCGACACGAATAGCAGCTCGCATCCTCAGTGACGAAGAACTGACAGTGTGGCAGCCCCTTTCCACGAAGAATGCTGCATTAAGAGACAGGTTTCTTGCTGTGCGGTGAACATGTACTCCCTTTTCTGTGTGGTGCACTGTCTGAACGTGCTACGATTATCAGCTTCAGTGTGAAGGAAGCCGCATACAAGGGTCTGTATCCACACGCAAGGCCTACTTGGAAAGAGTTGACATTCCTTGCCTCTGGGGGCTCTCGCAAGCCCACCCTCACATACCACCCATCAGCTTTGGCGACCCCAATTGGCACGCTTCATACAAGCATCAGTCACGACGGTGATTACGTCTTCTCAACCGTCGTGGTGGAAGGCCCCTTGCTACGATGAATTGTATGAGGAACAACTTTCGTAATAAAACAGTGGGGATATGTTGTGTAACATGCCACTCAATTGTGTTTGGTCATAGTCCGTTCGTACAGGCAGATTGGCAGATGCGGAATACACGGCGTTGATACTACTTTGAATCATCATGAATAAGCAGAGCAACGCAGACAAATGAGTGTCCCGTGGACACGCCCTCACTATACAATGATCGGACTCCTTGCAAACGGCCCTCAATGGCCTTAGACGGGTGAACCATACACTCTCGGCGGTGCTATGCCACAGTTCCTGCAACTTCACTCCTCCGCCATGCTTTAAGGATAAGGACGGTTGAAGTGTCCTCTAGAAGCCTGTTAGTGATATTAGGTAGATGTTCGACCCTCCGTGTTTTCTGGCACAGCATCGTGCCCCGCCGTGGCATTTGGGGGTAGACCGACATTGTTTCCACGGAACCGCTTCCGCATATCCAACTTGTGTACAAGACATGAGAATGCGACCAGAATAGCAAGATGCAGCAGGGTACATACCATTCCTCTTTTGCACTCGAATGTGGCCCGCCGCAAGGACAGGCACTCCTCGGGAAGTTCACTTGTGTGCTGCTTCAGGCATTCTGAAGGCAAGTTCCCTTTCTTCAAAACGCAGTCCGACTGCAGCAAGCATTCCTTCAGGGCAGAAATGAGGTGCTGGCACGAGGAGGACATGGATGCAGCGAGGAGCAAGACGCCGGTTACCCGAATCGTCGGAACACCGGAAATGGCTTGGTCAACGGCTTGCTCTCATGCTGCCACCCAGTGTCCGCGCCCTCGTCCGCAATGTACCAACCATTGCTCCTGTTCCGCGTCGCTCGATATTGTCAGTGACCGGTTCACAGGCGACCGAGTTCCTCAACGGTATTGTTGCCTCATCTATTCCAGCAAATCCGCGGGGTCACTTCTATACGGCCTTCTTGCATGCACAGGCAAGCCAACTGCATTGATGAGTTATCTATTCGGCTGAAATACTGTCTTCAAGGGTAGGGTGTTATACGATGTATTTCTCTATGCGCACACTAGTGCAACTGGCTCGCAGGGCTACCTCGTAGAGTACGATGCTACGTTGACCGAGGCACCTCCTCTTCTCCCAATGCTTAAGCGCTATGTACTTCGGTCAAAAGTGAAGCTTCGCGATGTTTCTGAAGAGTATGACGTGTGGGCAGCTTGGGGTTCTGAGAATGAGAAAGCCTGGGAGACAGAGAGACAATGGAGCCGTGCTCGTAGTGGTGCGGTAGAACCCGTCTGGGATTATACGAACGACTCGCCGTGGGGAACAGAAAAAGGGGTTCTTCGCGACCGCAGGGCTAGCGGAATGGGGCATCGACTTATTGTCAGGAAGGGGGAAAAACGTGAGTGACCAGTCAAATATCGGTTGGCTGCGTAACTCTAACGAACGCGCAGCTAAGGGAACAGCTACGTACGATATCGCTTCACCGGATGACTACCTACTGCATCGAATATTACGCGGTGTTCCGGAAGGGGCGGCGGATATCGCCCCCATGCAAGCATTTCCAATGGACTCGAACCTGGACATGATGGGCGCACGTTAGTGATCTGTTTTCTGTCAGCTTTGTCTTGTCGCGCTGACGCTATTGTTCACATTAAGTGGATTTTAGAAAGGGATGCTATATCGGGCAAGAACTTACTGTTCGAACATATCACACCGGTATAATACGGAAAAGGGTATTGCCCGTCGTGATTCATTCACCAGGAGATGCGTAAGCCGGTCACCTTGAGCGCACATTCTGGTTGCGCTGATTGCTCCATTTTGCTCAGGTCTCGGGCGCCCATCTCTCAGTTGAGCTTTCCCTCGAATTTAGACATCAAGGCTCGCGTTACTGAATCGAGCAATGGCGCTGTCCGTAAACCTCGACACCGAGCGACGGGAAAACTACTCAGCTCCGTCAACGGCGTTGGTCTTGCGCTTCTGCGGCTAGAGCATCTACCTGCTGTGGAGAATGGAAACATTGTTTTAGAAGTCGAAACAGGGAGTGCGGAAAAACAGACTTCGGAACTCACGCATTGGTTGCCGGACTGGTGGCCACCCGCTCCTGCTCTTCTGGAACAGGAGTCATGATATTACTTTGTGTGATTGGTGTGTATCATATGCCCTCACATATCCCCACTCATCCATCTGTAAAGTCTCGTTTATCGAGATAGTCTATTTTGACCACAGGGAGCCGCGTTTGCCATCGTAGATCAGCGTTCTGAGGCTTGTACTCAAGCGATTCGCTGTATCGGCACCCCTTTCATTCTGATCAGCTCTTCCAACATAAAAATTTAATCACGAATGCTGCAAGCTACGGCCATCTAACACATGGCTGTCCATTCGATTCAGAGATGCCTAGCTTTCCGTAAGAAGCCCTTGGTTCGCCCTATGTCGCTGGCATCACAAACGCATACAACTTTAGACTAATTCTCCACCCCAATAAGAGAGATTTTCAATTTTAGAGTTTCGAAGCGGAACCTTTGGTAGGCCGCGAAGCGGGTATGTCTGGTGCGCGCACATGATATCTAGTACTTGCTATGGAACTTTTTGGTATGGATGCTCTCACGGGGCTTGAGTCTCATAGATAAATTGCAATACAAGATACGTCATAGATGGGGCTCGATACGATTTGGCATTGGTATAAATGGCACAAACATTAAGTCTTGTGCCTTGTCTACGCCGTCCAAGTCTGGCATTTCATCCGGGCAGTGCCATCACGATGTACTGCCTCGGCAGACAGAATCGTCTTACGCAGCGACCACATCGTCAGTCTTTCCGCCCCAAGTGTCTGCATGTACAGGCCGTCATTGCATCGATTAGTAAGTGGCGATATAATACATTAAGGACTCCCAAGTTGAGCGTTGGTGTTTGCCACGATTGAGATCGCTGACAATAGCATTATTGAAATGGCGTACCCTGAATGTGTTTATTTAAATTGAGAAGTGGATTGCATCATTCAAGTGTGAGGTGACGAAGGGTAGTAAGGGAACTAGTCCCTATGGCTTACTAAACTGGCGGCAGGGATCTAACCAACGATGATTAATCAAGCTCGATGCCCGAATGACGTATATAATGCAGCGATAGCAAGTCTCAAAGACTTCAGCAGTCCACTATCCCTCTGCACAATATTACCATGTCCTCAGATACTGGCAAACCCTTGCTTCTTTACACTGGCCCGACCCCTAACGGTCGCAAGGTCTCGGTCTTCCTTGAAGAGCTCAAAGCTGCGTACGGTAGCCCTGAATACGAGTGAGTCTTCTCCATGCACTATCTGTCTACATGTCATTCTGATCTTGGATGATCAGCATTCAAAACATCGATATTAGTACCAATGTTCAGAAAGAGCCGTGGTTCATTAAACTGAACCCGAATGGTCGCATACCGGTTCTCGTCGATCGCTCCCGCAACAACTTCATCGTCTTCGAGACCGCGGCGATTTTGCTCTATCTCCAGCAGCACTACGATAAGGAGGGAAAATTCGGATTTAATCCTGCGAAGGACCCCGACACATACAGCGAGACGCTGCAGTGGATCTTTTTCGCGGTTGGTAGTCCCAGAATATGTGCGTGAACAGTTGGCTGACTACAATAATCACAGCACGGCGGTGTTGGTCCCATGCAAGGACAATCGAACCACTTCAACCGGTATGCAAAGGAGGACATTCCCTATGCTAAAAAACGTAAGCATCTCATGCAGTTATTGATGTTGAGGAGGCTCTCAATAATCAATCAATAGGGTATATTGACGAGACAAAGCGTCTCTATGGCGTACTTGAGATCCGCCTTTCCCAAGGCCGCGATTGGCTCGTGGGTCCTGGCCGGGGGACATATAGTATCGCCGACATGAATGTGCTCCCATGGATAAATATCCACAAGCATTCGATGGTTGAAAGTCTGGACGAGTTCCCGCTTCTGAAGGTGTGTCTGCATGAAGCAGTCTATCTGGGCAAATACTGATATAAGCGGATTGAAGGACTGGCTTAAGAGGGCGACTGAGCGCCCTGGCACAAAGGCTGGTCTAGCTGTTCCGTGAGGTTTTCAAATTGTATACATAGTGTTGGCTTGTGTATCATTTGGAGAACAAAAATCAATTTTATTTGTGTTACAAACGACAATTCTGTAGAGCCTTTCATAGACCTATGAACATGAAACTCGGACTTTGCATGTATACGGGATCAAAAAAAAAACAATTGAATCAAAGAAGGGTATTAACTCAGGACAACGCTGAGAGCTGAAAAATTCGCAAGGCGGCATTATGATGGAGGCAGAACACGGAACCCCCTAGTAAAAGGCGAGGGGGTTGTCTGATTGCAATACCTCCTGCCGCAACAACAGTTGATCGAGAGCGGTCAAGACCACAAGCGTTTTGTATTTCGTGCAGCCCGCGGGTGCGATCACGTGGGCACGAGTTGTGGCTGCGGTTTCCGTGATACTACTGCAGTACTACTCGTTCGGAGACGTTCCTATCCTTTTGAGTTCTGCGTGATCTGAGTATCGACAGATGTCTGAAGACGAGAGGCTCAAGCTGAATACATCGTCCCTGCTTCATACCCTCTTCTCATCTTGCAAAGTCACTGCACCCATCTCCTCCTTCGACCTCCTTACGCACGTCATTACTTCTCCCACCGGCCCCCTGCTGAGTCCTGAGTCCGCACCTCCATTCCGTCTCACTGATATTTCCCGCTTCGAGGCCATCCTCGAGAGCCTCTCAGAAGCTTGGGACTATGGCCAGATTTCTGTGATGCGCGAGAATCGCGACGGTGAGCTCATGGTCATTGACGTGCAACTTGGCGACTCGCAATCTGGTGGCGCAGCACGGATGCAGGGACGCAAGCGCAAGCGTGTGGTGGATGAGGATGCCGATTCTGCTGCTGGAGATGCGGAGGAGGAGGCCGAAGAGCGTATTGAGCGGTTGCGTTCTGAGCTGAAGCCAGCTCCCACTACGCTCGCGAGTCTGAGCAAGGATATGAAGGAAGTATATAATATCCTCCAGCGCTGCACGGCCAAAGGAAGGTTACTGGCTGAGCAGGTGCGGTCACAGCCCTTGATTATCTGTGTGTCACTTACCCTTCCCAGTTCCGTACCGTGAATGGGAGCTTTGAGCCAATCTGCCCTAACATCACCAAGGATGACTGTGCCAAGGCGCGCCGCCTTGCGGACATCACTAATGATGCCGTAAATAGCAGAGGACCGGCGACAATATGCGACCGCATACATTTTCGTCCGCTCCTTCGCCCACATACAGACCCCTCCCTAGGCCATTGCTCCTACCTTAACACCTGCTACTCGGAGCCGACTTATGCACAGTCGCCTTCTATCCCGCCTCTGCCATCGCATCGTCAGATGGGATACGGGGCACAAGGTGCCGGCAGTGTGAGCCTTCCGAGTGGTCTGGGTGCTGGCGGCAGAGGCAAGGAGAAAGCTCCATGTCGCTACCTGCACTTCGAATTAGACTGGGATATAAATGACGGCACTGGTCCAACCGATCAAAGATTGGAGCCAAAACGTAAGCCGTTCAAACTGGGAGTAGGCCTCGGACCGACTGGGAAGGACACGCCCATAGTGAGCACGATGCATCACAAGATAAAGGATTAGCCGTTAAGCATGTCTTTGCAGCTCCCACCCCAATGGCTTAATTGTGACCTGCGAAGATTTGACTACTCCGTTCTCGGCAAGTTTCATGTCATTATGGCGGACCCACCATGGGATATTCATATGAGCGTGCGTGTCTGTTCTCAGCTGCCTTCGTGCTCCTTCGTATACTTCTCGGGCGAAGCCAGAGGGGCCTCGCTTCAGAAGTATGCGAACTGTGGCGGATGATGATTTTGAGCATGGTCGTCTGACATTGAATCTCGGACTGGATTAATAGTTGCCGTACGGGACAATGACAGACGACGAGATGCGGGCAATGCCTATACCGACATTACAAGATGAGGGGCTTCTCTTTCTTTGGGTTACCGGTCGTGCTATGGAAGTCGGCCGGGAATGTTTACGCGTTTGGGGGTATACTCGTGTGGATGAAGTCGTCTGGGTCAAGACAAACCAGGTATGCCACCTCACAAGTGTTTGTCTCGAACCATGAAACATCTATACTGTTGCCTCCCTTGTAGCTTCAACGCGTTATTCGCACTGGCCGCACAGGACACTGGTTAAACCATACTAAAGAACATATGCTTGTTGGTGTGAAAACCATCACAGACGACGCAGGAAACCTCAAGTTCCCCTCATGGGCTAACCGAGGGCTCGACACAGACGTGATCGTCTCTGAAGTCCGCGAGACTAGCCGTAAGCCCGATGAGGTATATGGTTTAATCGAGCGAATGTGCCCTGGTGGCCGCAAGATCGAGATCTTTGGGCGGAAACACAATGCTAGACCGGGGTGAGTGCTGTTTTAGAATTCTTTTCATACTGCTCTGCTGAATGTTTTTCCTAATATAGATGGCTGACACTAGGCAATCAGCTCGGACACGACCAAATTTACGAGGAAGATCTGGCGACGAGGATTAAGGCTAGGTATGCCAGCTGTCACATTATCAGTCCTTCTCATGCTTAGAGGGCAATCGTCAGATATCCAGAGCGTAACATAAACGTTCGTCATGCAAGTGGACTGTAACTCTTGAATTTTGCATGTTTTGCCTCGTTGATTTTCATACGTGTATTTTAATTCTCAACTGTATTTGGTGTTGATTTCCATGTATCTATAAGACAGGACAGTGTCATTATCAACCAGACTATCTCATGGCGGCACCTCATTTCCCGCCCAATCTAGCACTTTTCCTCTGTTGCGGATGTCTAAGTTTTGCACGACGTTCACCACTTTTGCTGCGGCGTCTTCGGGCTCGAAGAGCTTTCCATCGGGCACTCCGTGCCAGAACTCTTTGCTCAAATCGGTCTTGACTGTACCAGGATGCATCCCCACACAAAGAGCGAGAATCTTCCTCTGTTGGAGGTATAAGTCGAAAGTGCGGATTGTCTGGTTTAATGCTGCCTTTGAAGCACGGTAAGAAAACCAACCACCTAGCCTATTATCTGAAATGGACCCCACGCGCGCGGAGATATGAACCCACTTTGACAGCAACGGTGAGTCGGATGAGGTGTGGTGCGACTGAGGCAGAGGAAGAAAGCGAGAGAAATGCTTGATGAGGATGAGATGTGAGATGACGTTAATGTCGAACGTTTCCTCGATGTTACTGGCGATGAGGTCTTCCGGCTGGCGCTCTGGATGCAAGACCCCGCCTGTGAAGAAAGCAGTGTGGATATATGCGTCGCCTTTCGGGCTCTTGGCAAGAACGTCCGCGAGGGACTGGGCTGCGGCAGCAATGCTATCCTCTGACTTGAGTTCCAGTTGGAGCAGATGCAATCGATCCTGGTCGACATTCTGCAGAGGAGAGAGAATGCGCTCGCGAATGGCGTCCGGCTTGTTCGAGCGATGAGTAGCGACGACAGGACTTTGGGTTGTCTGGAGAAGATGTCGAGTAATTGCTAAGGAGAGGCCGCGGGTGGATGGTGTCACAAGAAAGAAAGGTTGTGCAATCATTGTGTCTCGCAGAATGTTGTAGGCGATGTTTTATCCCGATAGCCAGTTGATGGCCAAGCTGCAGGCTTCAAGTCGACGCGTCCGAGTCGCGTCGGATCCTAGTTGCGATCACGTGTGCGTAAAAGCCCAAACCCGAAGTCGCTGCGTGTACTATGATAGTAGTAACTATGTACATGTGCATCTTAGCGACAAGTAGGCCGTCTTGAAATGATCACTCCATTTATTCGTAAACTTCCAATTTGCAAGACATACAGAAAACAGCCGAGCTACGTAGCATCCGAAAAAAAGACATGACACTAGCTACAAATTGGCGAGCGCAGCATGACAGAGTGACTTGATTGAAGCAGAACGGGATGGTGCATCGAACAGCACTTGAAGAACCATGATCGGGAAATAATGAGCCGACTCAAATATCACCAAGATCCACAAAATCCCCCTCTTGCTCGTCCCAGCCCAGCGTCTCAGGAGCGATGCCCAAGTGCCGTAGCATTGTCCCGGGTGTGTGCGTAGAAATGTTCTCCTCGTCATCTTGAATTCCTTCGTTCCGCACCTGATACGCGCCGGTTGCTCCGCCGGAGCGAGAACCTTCCCCACGCCCAAACTCTTCCTCTAGCCAGCCACTTTTCCCTCTCCAGGTGTTGATGCTTTCGCCGGGATTCTGGTCCTTCACGGTGTCCCAAACAGCCCACGCCACCTCCCTGCCAACGGTCACCCACTTTTCAACAAGTTCTTCGAGCTGTGCTTCTTCCAACCCAGCTCCAGCAGTCTTGATGCGAATAGCCTGCTTCAGCATTTGCAATCTGCGCTGGAGGGCTTGAATGGTAGGCATAGCTGTCACACTCGAGAATGAGACGTTCGGAACAGACGATCCTACAGATAGCGGTGATTTGAACTGCTTCGCGGCATTCCTGGTGCAATCCTTGGTCTGCACGGTGGCATCGCTGGTCTCCACCGCATAACTCAGATTGGGGCGGGTTAGAGCTTCAACGTCAACTGTCTCGCCTTTCGCTGCTTCCAGACCACGAGGAATCCTGCCACTTGCATACACAGCATCGACACCGTGATGGGCGAACGCTATATCCACTAAAGGCGAGCGAAATGGGGCCACAAGCTTTCTGCGCTGCTTCTGCTGAGAGATCAGAGTGGGTCGTTTTGGGTTGGATAGGTTGTTTGGCCTCAAGCTGCCATCCATTTTCTGTGAGTCCATCGTGTAAGCCGTGTTCCGATTCCAGAAAATGATGGTCGTACCATATATTTCTTAGGCGATTGATTGGCAAAAGAGCTCGTATGATGGGAACCTTCATTTCCATTGATTTCGTCTGGAATACCAAGTGCAGGTTCGAACAGGCTCCGCGGCCGTTTCGCACCGACAATAGGACGCGCGTCAAAATCGAGTTGGTAGCCCTCTAAGTGACTCTTATGGTGATCAATAGCAAACAGGGGCGGCGACGAAGGCGGCGAGCTTCCCTTGCATGGAGGCGAGGAAGAAAATATCTTACAAGGGCTAGAGGATGGAAAAGGCGATGATGACGGTAACGGAGAGGAAGGTATGTCATCCGTGGTCAAAAGCTGTTCAGCATCTTGGTCGACATATTGCGAGCAGGTCGACTTTTCATCTAATACCATGTCGGAACATAGGTCGTCCCCCAACGAGCAGGAGAGCCCAGAATCCTCCAGGTCCAGAACTCCGGTCAGTTGAGCGGATTCGATGGGGCTCAGAGGTAGCACCACTAAATCCAGTCTGGCTTCTTCATTAGGAGCAGAAGGCACGCTCGACGATATATTGACATCAACCCGCGGAGCTTGAACTGCTGTTGGGGCCTCTTGATCCGTAAAATAGGTGCTTGCAGTGTCAGCAATCATAGATGTACTTGTGGCTTCAGTAAAGCTATCGCACGACGAGCATTCTGTGGATATAGGCTCCACCTTATTCGGAAGCTGAAGAACAACCAGGTCAACAAGATAAGGTAGCTGAGGAGGAATACTTGAAGTAAGTTTTTCGTCATCTACGTATTTCTCGGCAGCAACTTGCAAGCCAGTCGTTGTATCTACTACGAACATTTTGGCTGAAAGAGGCACAGGATCCGCGTCCAGAGTAGTCCCATCTGTAACAATAGGACAATCAAGGTGACCCAGACATCCGTCTGTAAGACTGAGGTCAGAACTGATCCTCTTCGGATCCACGCGAGAGCCGTCTGGGGAATCAGACGAACTTGACACATGGCAGAAAGGATCTAGAAGTAGAGATGTACGTTGTGCATCTTCAGCTGTAGTATCAGGGTCGTAAATTATCTGAGCATCGAGAGAATCAGCAATTGGATGAACATCAGCGTTAGAGGGCCCAGCAAGCAAATCACAGGATTCAGCATTTGTGCAGAGCATGGACAGAGATCCAGCGGCATGATCGGGAGAACCCCCAGAAATAGAACAAGGCAGAACCAGATCAGTACAACAAAGAGCAGAAGTCGAAGCAGCGGACACCGGAAGTCGGACTTGTTCCACATCCGGGACAAAAATTCTCAGAGGGTCAACATAGTTTTCTTCACGATAGGCAGTATTAGGTGGAGAGCAAAGGCTGGCAATCAGTGGTGAGCCGTTGAAAATGGTGCACGGACTACCTGGATCGTCTGTCACTTCCAGCACAGAAAGCGAATCTGATTGACGTAAGAGTTAATCAATACACTCGCTACAAACCACCGCGACTCGGAAGCTCACCCTTGACGTAGACTTCAAAATCGACCAAATGATCGTCGTGTATTTGTTCTACTTCTGAAATTTGTTCGATATTCGTATCACCTGGAGCAGAATCAGCCGTAGGAGAGCTCTCAATGGCTTCCGTTAACGATAAAGGGAGGATGTATTTGACGGAAGATTTAGCAGCGGCCTGCATATATGCGTTCAAAACTGCTCCAACGACTCTGAAATTTCTCGCAACATACACTAGCACCAGTTACAAGTCGCGCTGAATCGAGGCATGATAGCTGTACTTCGTCAGTAGCGGTTTCAATGTCGGGTCGAATGCAAGTGGATGCATCGGCTGGCAACACAATTCGGCGCGGTGCCCAGGTCTGAAGCAAGCTGAGAAGGTGACTGGCGAGTGAAGTGTGGTATGATGGCTCACCGTAGCGGCGTTCTGTTGTAGGCTTTCCATCTGGTTATGCTCACCTGACCGACTATATGCGTCAGATTCTCGCAAATGTGACTTGGTAGTTTTTTCGTTGCATTGCGCGTTGTCGATTGACATATCGCTCTTCAAGATCCCGTCCACCCTTTGTTCCACATCAAAGCTGTGATCGGCCGACTGAGGGACAAAGTGAAGCTGAGCAGTTCTTTCATCATCATCATCGGAGCTCGTCCGATGAAGACTCTCGATGTCGCTATGCGCGACGCAAATGGGAGGATAAATCTTGCAGAGATGAAGACCGGAATGTAAAGAAACATAGGTGAAACTCACTGCATTCGGGTAAGTCATGGTGGGCGGCGGTTATGGTAGGAGGCGTAAATGCACATCGAGTCGATCGCGACCTCGGACCTGCAGGCGCACTCACGTGTTCGCACATGCCGCATCTCGATCGCTTATTCTTGATCATGTTTATACGTATTTTATCCTCCATGCACTAGCTCTTCTCCAAGCTTTCTTCATTGCTCATATCCAATGTCAATTTTACATGTAGACAAATAACTCTGCAGGCATGGGTAATGTGGTCAATATTGGGTATCATTCTATCTCATACTAGGCCTTGTAGCAAATTCTACAGACTCAAAGGCTACTGTTACAGCTTGGAGGGGGGTTTCTTTTTCTTTCCTAACTATTCGTC